CCACCAAGCATGGGGGCTCAGCTGCGCCCACTCCTCACCCCCCAGCTGGGGGGCAGGGAGCCCTCCTCATTCCCCCCCCTCTGTTTAAACGCTCCCAGTCTCTGTGAGCCCCCCTGTAACAAACCCAAATCCACCTCCAGGGGTGTCCCAATTCACCACCACCAAGCATGGGGGCTCAGCTGTGCCCACTCCTCACCCCCCAGCTGGGGGGCAGGGATCCTCCTCATTCCCCCCCCTCTGTTTAAACGCTTCCAGTCTCCGTGAGCCCCCTGTAACGAACCCAAATCCACCTCCACCCACTCCCTCAGGGGGTCCTGGAGACTTTTGAGTGGCAGCCCCCTCCTCACCAGCTGTGAAGATGGGTCCTGCTCCTGAAATGACGACGGCATGACACGATGAGTCCTGGCTGATGTCCTGGAAGCACTCCACCATCTCCCTGCAGGGAGAGAACTGAGGAATTGACCCCAGGAGGCAAAGGGGGGGGGGAGATGAATGAATTGGGTAAGGGGGGGGGGTGGGGGGTACCTCCAGAAGGCGATATTCATGGCGTTTCTCTTCTCGGGGCGGTTCAGCTCTACGTGCAACACGTGTTTCTGCACTGGTGTCACACGCAGGGTCTCAAAGCTGCGGTGCTGTGGTTCTGCTGCTCCCGTAGCCATGGTGCGGGTCAACAGCCACGATGCTGCTGGGGGGGGTGAGGGGGGGGATGTGGTGGTGTTGGTGGTGGGGGGGGGGTCAAGGGAATGGGGATGGACTGGGGAGAGATGGGAGCCACTGGGCTAGGGGGTAAAAAGAGGGAGTGGAGGAGGTTGGGAGGGATTGGGGAGCGTTGGGAGCTGCTGTGGAAGGAAGTTTGGGGCGTCGTAATGCGCTGAGATGGGAGCCAGAGTGGGACTGGGAAGTGGGACTGGGAAGTGGGACTGGGAAGTGGGACTGGGAAGTGGGACTGGGAAGTGGGACTGGGAAGCACTGGGTGATACTGGGGAGAGACAGGAATTCGTTAGAGGGGGACTGGTGAGGCTCCGAAGGGACTGGGAGGTGTTGGGGGAGAGGGAGCAGGGCACCAGAGCCACTGGGAAAGGACTGGGGGGGGGCACTGGGAAGAAGGAAAAGGGAACTGGGAGCAACTGGGAGCCACTGGGAGCGAGGAAATGGGTACTGGGACCAACTGGGAGCCACTGGGAGCGAGGAAGGGGGAACTAGGACCAACTGGGAGCTACTGGGAGCAACTGGGAGCGAGGAAGGGGGAACTGGGACCAACTGGGAGCTACTGGGAGCAAGGAAGGGGAAACTGGGCCCAACTGGGAGCTACTGGGAGCAAGGAAGGGGGAACTGGGAGCAACTGGGAGGCACTGGGAACAAGGAAGGAGCCACTGGGAGCCACTGGGAGCAACTGGGAGCAAGGAAGGAGCCACTGGGCCCAACTGGGCCCAACTGGGAGCGAGGAAGAGGGAACTGGGACCAACTGGGAGCCACTGGGAGCAAGGAAGGGGGAACTGGGACCAACTGGGACCAACTGGCAGCACTCACGTCGTGTTCGCAACGTCCGCAGCCCCGCAGCGATCGCCGCCATTCGCTGCCACTCAGTCCTCCAAGGGTCGAGGTCAACAAGTGGGGAAGAGAGAGCCGCCCCTTCCACCACACGGGCGGCCCCTCCCACCACGTGACCCACTCGGAGCGTGATAGGACAAAGTCGACTTCCGGTCCCGCCCTCCCCTCCCCGGGAGCGGAAGTGCCTTCTATCCCAGCAGGAAGCGCCGCTCTCTCCTCTCCTCTCCTCTCCTCTCCTCTCCTCTCCTCTCCTCTCCTCTCCTCTCCTCTCCTCTCCTCTCCCCTCCCCAGGTGGGGGGAACCCTGTTATCCCCCTCCTCAAATAAGGAGGGGGGGCTGCACCCATTCCCCTCTATTTACCCCAAATGAGGTCAGCTGCACCCCCCAGCCCCCTTCCATGTCTATCATCTCCCCCCAAGTATGGGGGGCTGATCCCACTACATCCCCAGCTCCATTCTGCTCTATTTCATCCCATTCTACACCCCAAAATGAGGGAGGATGCCCCCACAACCCCCCCNNCCCCCCCCCCCCCAAGACCCATTCTCACTGCCTTTCCCACTGAAAATGGGGAAAGGCACAACCCCCCCCCGACTCCCCTCTCCCTTTAAAGGCTGGGGAAAAGCAGCTGTTTCCAAACAGTTTATTGAAAGGC